TGCCAAGTGCCAAACTATATTCCTCAAGTATATTTGGAAAAAAATACTAAGGCAGAAGGAAGGCTGGACCATTTATCAAGCAGACAGAAAGCAATTTAGACTCCCTGAGTGATGAGATACGTGGACATTTTAAAACTGTTAACCAGAAATTCTTACATGATTGGCGGATATGAATACCAAAATGAAAAGCGGGGTTTGTCTGGGTTAGCTAAGTTGATTCTGTCTTCTTCTTCTGCCCCCAAATCTTGAAGCTACTTTTATAAATACAAGGGCTGTGTAATAAACACACCAAGGAACGCTTCAATATGGAAAACCCAAGCTTCTAAATTCAGCAGCTTATCAATGAACCAGACTCAACGGAGACATGGATATTTTTTTTTTCAAATAAATCAACATGTTTGTTGGGGAAATTTCCACTAGCAGCCGTGCCGCCCAGATGGTTGACAAATTTCATATCTGGGTCTGTGTTTTTCTGTAGGTTTCATCTCCATGAAATGCTACACTGAAAACTAACCCCACGTCGCCAAAAATACGCACTTTTCTTCATGCAATTTCAGTATGATTTAGGCAAACCATTTCTACTGTATTTTTCGCTCTATAGGACGCAACTGACCATAGGACGCACCTTGTTTTAGAGGGGGAGAACAAGAAAAAAAAATCTCCCCCTCTCTGCTCAGCGCCCCTTCAGCAAAGCGGGAGGAGAAACGGAGCCCTTTCCATTTCTCCTCCCGCTTCGCTGAAGGGGCGCTGCGCAGAGAGGGAAAGCTGTGCAGCACCTCTCCAGTGGAGCGAAGCCAGGAGAGCAAGAGGGATCGGTGCGCACCGATCCCTCTCGCTCTCCTGGCTTCAGCAAAGCAACCCGAAGCCTCTGGAGGCTTCAGGTGGCTATCCCTGCTCCCACTGCGCTTCGGAGGCCTCGCGTTGCTATCGCTGAAGCCAAGGAGCCTGCATTCGCTCCATAAGACGCACACACATTTCCCCTTAATTTTTTTTTTGGGGGGGGAGTGCGTCTTATAGAGCAAAAAATACGGTAATTAGTTTATGTTCTTTGGGGGAAGGGGGGAGGGAAAAGCACCCAAGAAATGGACCTGTAAAATGCAATCTGCCCATAACTTTATAAAAAACATGCAAGGAGTTTGGTTCCTCACTAAACAATTGGGGGGTGGACAATCTGATCCGTTATGAGAGCTTTGCTATGGGCTTCCTTCCCAACTTAAGAATCAGCTGTGACTCAGAGCTGAAACTGTACCAACCAGAGTTATCACCCATGGTTAAACTTTGTATTTTGTCATGGCCAAACCTCGGTTTAGCCATCAACTGTCTATAGGGCTGCACACCCTCCCTTCTCCTGCACTTCCATTTGCTTCCTCATTCCATGGCAACCAGTATGTAGTGACGCCTCAATATGACAAGCAGCTATATTGCGCATCCAAGCCAAATGAAAAACCCTGGTTTGAAAGCTACCTAGGGTTTGTGAGAACCACAATTTGACATGTTCAGGCATCACTGCAGATATCAGTTTCTATAAGCAAGTAGCAGAAGCTGAGAGCAAAACCAGTGTACGCAAACCATGGTTAGCTATTAATTACAACTCCAGATAGAGAAGGAAGTGGAGAATCTGAATACAAAGGGGGATACCATGCCACTGACTCTCTCCAAGGTTTAAAGGTCATTGTTGTTCACTTTGCATGTCTGCTGCTTTAATCAATCCTAGATATTCTTTCCAAAGTGTGTAATGAGGTTGAACGGATCACATGTGGGGGGTTTTCCGGCATGATCTTTGCAATGTTTTGATTGTTTTATATCGGTTTGTTTGTTTTGATGTTTTGTCTGTAATAAACTGTAATAAACTAAAAAAAGGATTTAAATATTATGACTGTTCCAGCCCTAATTAACAGTTAAGATACAGGACCACAGGAAACCACAAGCACTTTAAGGCAAAAGAAAGGGTCCCAGGAAACCAAAGAGTCAGTAGGATACTGAAAAGCACACAGACCAACCCTACAAACTGGTGGCACTAAGTAAATACACAAACCCCAAACTTAACCACATTCAAGTCCCCACTGATTTGTGATAGATAAAATTGCAGCCCCTGGGAACTGGTATAATGCAGCAGTTATGAGAGTTGTAAGAAGCCTGGAGAGACCCATATTCAAATCCCTACACAGCCTTGAAGCTCACTGGTCTCACCTCAGGACAGTCACAATCTCTCAGTCTAACCTACCTTGCAAGGGGAAAATTGGGGACCCAGGGATGGAGGAAACCATGAGGGCAGGTGGAACAAAAACACAAAGAAAGAATCCAATTAACCTTGCTAGGTTTAGATTAAAAATTCTCCTCAAGCAAAGCCTTTTTCTTTAAAAAAAAAAATGCAGAAAAGCATAGCCACAGCCAAAATCACTAAGGACAGTCAACACTGAACACATACTTAGCTGCTCACAAAATGTGATATTCACTATTTTCTTTGCAGCAAAAAAAAGGGGGGCAGCCCAATGCTAGGGGGAAACAAATAATTCTGCTCCCTACTGCAGTACAACACGAGCTGTACAAAGCTGAAGCTCTGGAAAAAACAAGGAGCCTTATGACACCTTAAAGATTAACACTTATATTATGCATGCACTGTAAGTCTACTTCATCACATGCACTTGATGAAATCCACGTGGACTGTAGTCCACGAAAATTTCCTACAACAAATGTGTTATTAAGCTGCCACAATATTCTGTTTTTTTTCTGAGGGCTCTTTGCCGCTTTTGCTATAAGAAACTAACACAGCTACTCACCTGGAAACTGCATCAGGGACGTTAGTCCAATGATAGACTACTTGTCTTCTGAAGCGGGAAACACCACTGGGGAATGAACACTGCTCAGTGGCAGAAAATCTGCATTGCACACAGAAGGTCCCTGGTTTGCATACCCAGCATCTCCAGGTAGGGTTGGGGGAAAGCTCCTGTCTGAAACCCCAAATGGCTGCTACTGGTCAGTGCAAACTGTACTGAGCTAGATGCAGCAATGGTCTGACTCCACATAGCACAGTTTCCTCTACCATTTATATCAGAACGATGAGGACTGGAATCTTGGGGAACAGCCACAACACTCTTGAGAGAGTCACAGTGCAGGAGAACGCCAAGCTAGATGGTCTCGCTCAATATAAAGCTGCTTCCTACAGCTTGTATACTTTGAGTAGACCCATTGCTGTTGCATTGATTTGACCACCTTAGGCCCAGAGAACAACACAGATGGATACAACCCTATGTTCTTAAGCATGTTATTATTGCCATGTAAAGTGATTTTTAACAGGCATGGCAGCCTAGGAGAAAAGGCTGTTTCTTGTTTCCCTTTCAAAAGGGGTGGGGAGAAGATCGGTGGGGGGAGACAGACCCTCCGAAATATGTCTCTCTCTCTCTCTCCACAGCTCCACAGACAAAAGGCCACACAGCTCATGAATGGAGCCACTAGTACCAAACTGTGATTGCTTGACTTAAAACGGGCACAGCAAACATCCCCGTTCCGAAAACAAGAGTTGGGGGTTTGTGGAGGGTGGAATAAAGGAGGAGCCATCTTCAAGCAAGTGGGCTCGCCTTCATGGGTAGCTTTAAATAGAGTGTGTGCTCCAGAGCCCTCCCTCTTTTCCCTGTACACAAAGGGCGGAAAAACAGACCACCCCTCGCTTCAACCACCCCTTTCGAGGTGCCTCACTTGAGCGTAGCCTTCCAGGGCCTGGAGCAGCCTGAACAAGCACAGGGCCTCATCGAAGGGGTGGAGAGAGAGGGGAAAGGCACCAGATTCACCACCCCTGATCTCAGCTCTTCGGAACTCACACCCTCGGCCTTTTCAGTCGCTTTCCTGGGGCAGCCTTTTTTTAGCAGGCCGGGGCCCCATTTCTCTCTCAAACACATGCAGGTTATAAAAGAAAGCAAGAAAGAAAAAGAAGTCATCCCTGGGACGAGTCAACGCACACAGTCTGCTCTGGGGAAAAGAAAAGAGAAAGAGCTGCCGTGCCCCAGTTTCAAAAGCTGACCAGATTCAAAACCGTAATAAGCTATTACAAACGCCACCGAGGCTCTGTTAGTCATGTTATAAACATGGCTTGCCATCCAAAGCAGGGTTCCCCCACCCCCACCCACTCCATGGCAGGAAGAAATGGAGATTAGTGAACAGAAACGTTTTTCCTGAGCGCGTGCAGACCGTCTTTCCGCCCTTTTGCTACAGGAGCGCCCACAGCCTGCACTCACGTGCCAGAAAGAATGCTAAGTCCAACAAGGCGACATCTGCAGCAGGCCTAGAACGTCTGCCTTCGTTATGAAACAGTAATATTTTCAATTATTACAATTCTGTGCCATGTTTCCTTGAAGAAACTTGGTGTGGTTGATGTACATGGTTCTCCCCTGCCCCATTTCATCCTCACAACCAGAGTCGCTACAATTCCCAAGAGTGGCTTCACAATCCATTTACCGTATTTTTCGCTCTGTAAGATGCACCAGACCCTAAGATGCACCTAGTTTTTGGAGGAGGAAAACAAGAAAAAAAATATTCTGAATCTCAGAAGCCAGAACAGCAAGAGGGATCTCTGCACAGAGATCCCTCTTACTGTTCTGGCTTCTGGGATAGCTGCACAGCCTGCATTCGCTCCATAAGACGCACACACATTTCCCCTTAGGAGGGAAAAGGTGAGTCTTATAGAGCAAAAAATACGGTAACTGCAGTTCTGTGAGGGGGAATAGACATCCCCTAACAACTCTCAGCACCCTTAACAAACTACAGTTCCCAGAATTTTGGGGAGGAAGACATGACTGTTTATTAAAGTGGCATCATATGATATAAATGTTGTCCTAAAATAACACTCTTAACCATGGGTAGGCAAACTAAGGCCCGGGGGCTGGATGCGGCCCAATCGCCTTCTCAATCCGGCCCACAGACGGTCCAGGAATCAGTATGTGTCCTTTTATTTAAAATGCATCTCTGGGTTATTTGTGAGGCACAGGAATTCATTCTTTTTTCTTCAAAATATTCTCCGGCCCCCCACAAGGTCTGAGGAACAGTGGACCGGCCCCCTGCTGAAAAGGTTTGCTGACCCCTGCTCTTAACCATTATACCATGCTGGCTATCACTAGTTCCAAAGGACCTGGTACAGTGGTACCTCGGGTTATATACACTTCAGGTTACAGACTGCGCTAACCCAGAAATAGTACCTCGGGTTAAGAACTTTGCTTCATGATGAGAACAGAAATCGTGCGGCAGCAGCGGCACAGCAGTGGGAGGCCCCATTAGCTAAAGTGGTGCTTCAGGTTAAGAACAGTTTCAGGTTAAGAACGGACCACCAGAACTAATGAAGTACGTAACCAGAGGTACCACTGTATATTTGAAGCTGCAATAGACATATAAAGTCCATTCCCTTTTCTGCCTCCCCACACATATGCTCGACTTTACAAAACACACAGCTTCCTACACTGAAATGAGACTGCATGGAGAGGTTCTTCAAGTCATCTTGCTACAGCTCAAAATATTTGCATTTTCAGCTTCAGGAAGAGAATTAATAAGAAGTTAGTCCGACCACTAAGTCCAGTAGGAGTTCCTGCAGCCATATCACCTCCCCACCCCGAGAGATTTTGAGAAGATTTTAAAGCACAAAAAAAGCTGAGGAACTTTGCAGCCATAGGGGCTTGGAAACTGAAGGCTGGTGTAATAAAAACCTGTTCTTCCAGGCAGGAATCGTTTTGGTAAACAATGTATCATGTTCCTTTTAAAAGAACATGACACAGGGCAACCAAATGGCTGGCTCTGGAAGCACACCGAGTGTTGTAAAATCAGAAGACAGTCAAGTATCTTTGGAGAAAGGAGCTTCATGCTATTCCCTCATGAGTTCCTGCAAGTATGACTTAGCATGCTACCTTTAGGCTAAAACCCCCCCACTATCAATAAACTGCCGCACGTCTGTTCTGACATAATGAATAGCAAATGGCGTAGTCCTCTCTGGACTCCAAAACGCAGGTGGGAAGAGAGGAGAGAAAGGGTTTAGATCCAAGCCTCAGTCAATTTGGCATGTATACCTCCAGGACTTCAACAAAATCTGCATGTAGGCCCTTCCAAAACACCAAATTCGGATGAATCAGGCGATGAAAGGCGTCAAGGTAAGCTTCCAAACACCAGCAGCTGCTCCTGGCTCCTGCTTTGACAGATGTGCTGAAATGGCATCCTGACACGTTGAGTAAAAAAGCATTAAAGCTATTCACAGGCCTCGGAGGAAGCCCAGCACTGCCACCGCGGCGTTTGAGGGAACAGCCTCTGACACACTCTTCTTGCACAGGCACGAGGGGTGCATCATTCAGCGAAATCGTTTTGAAACACAGTAAAAGTTTGCACCACACAAACACACACACACACACACACCGCTCCAAATATCACTGGCAGCATTTTGCTCTTTAAAAATTTGGTCATGCAAACACAGTCGGTTGATTCAACCCTACTTAAGCAGGCAGGAGCTAAAGGCCTCAACTGAGCAAGCAATTACCATCTCCCTTGTTCAGAAGTGACAAAATAGTGGTCCTTTTCTAACTTGGCAGACTTTGTAATTAACAGGCACACAAGTTAGGCCAGGGGTCCATGCAGTTCATTACTGTCTAAAGCAGGGAATCTTTTTCAGCTTGAGGGCCACATCCCCTCCTGGGCAACCCTCTGGGGGCCGCAGGACAATGGTAGGGCCAGAAGCAAAAGAGGGCAGAGCAACTAAGGTCACTTTTACTTCTGCAATCTAGGTTAGGTTTCTTTACAGACATGCACACCCTTCTCTATCCTCCTTCCAAGTTCAAGGACACATTACAGTGAGGCAAAAGCAACCAAAGAGTGTGGTGAAGCAAGGAGATAAAGCATGTGGGCCTAGAAGGTTCCAAGGGCATGAAAAACATAGAATCATGAAACTGTATAGTTGGAAGGTACCACAAGAATCATCTAGTCCAACCCCCTGCAATGTAGGAATCTTTTGCCCTACCTGGGTCTCAAACCCAAGGCCCTGAGTATAAGAGTCCCATGCTCTACGCAGCAAAGTAGAAGGCAGGCACATCTGGCATTCAAGCCTAAAGTTCCCCAACACTCTTTCCAATATTCTGAATTACTATGGTTTATTGGATTGGATTGTTTTGAGTAATTTGCTGTTGTTGCTTTGCTTTATTTATATGTTACTGTATTTGACATTGCAGTGTTTAACGTTTCTCCCCTAATGCTATTGTGATTATTGTGAGCTGCTTTGAGCTCAACATCTGCTGTTGAAAAAGTGTAATACAAATATTAAATCAAGTCAAATCTACAGCCTTGTATTTGAGCGCCAGGCAACCAGGAATTACATGTAGGAGCATCTGGGCCTGCCTCTCCGTCCAGCATAGCAATGCAGCTCTCTTTCTCCTCTGCCAGCCTTTGGAAAGTGGATAAGTGTGCACTAGTAACTTGGGTGCGGAATATTTAAAATGTTGATCTACGTAGTCAACGTGTACTGCAAGGTTTTCAGAGGTGGTCTCTCCCAGATCTGCTCTTGAGAACCTTTTGGCCAGTTGCATGGAACCTTGTGGGTATCAAAGAACATGCTCTAGCCACTAGGCCCCAGGGCAGTCAGTGGGACCTAAGCAAGAGGCCCATCAATGATGCTCCCCGCACCCAGGCCAACACTTAAAAACACAGTCCTATCAGCCCCAGGCAGGAACTCCTTTTGTTATTGGATGGCGCTACAGAAGACACTACACACAACATTTAGACAGGAGAACCTACTGCACTCTAGAACAACCCTGTCAGATGAGTGAGTAATAATAATAGGAGGAGGAGGAGGAGGAGGAGGAGGAGGAAGAGGAGGAAGAAGAAGAAGAAGTCGTCACCAATGGAAGCTGCCCAGTCCCTCAGGAAATAAAGGAGGAGGCCCACTAGATAGCCCTGTGCCCTCTGTTTCTCAATAAAATTGTAGCGCAAGTTTAACTATGGTTCCCATTTTATCACTGACACCCATGTCCGTACCCTGCCTTTCCAGTTTTTGAAAAAAGGTCAAGGTGACAATGAAACCCATAATAAGGAACAATTGGCTCACAAGTAAGTAAGAAGATGATTAAAATAAGATTAAAGTGGATAGAAATGGCAGCTAGTTAAAAACATAATTAAATTAGAAATATAGATTAAAACACAGAGCAGCAGAGCAAAAAAATAAAAGTCAGTTCAGTATGTCTAATGACCCTGGGAAGGGCTGTAGCCCAGTGGTGGAGCATCTGCTTTGCATGCAGAAGGTCCCAGGTTCAATCCCCTATATCTCCAGGTAGGGCTGGAAATTTGCTGTCTGAAAACCCTGGAGAGCCACTGCCAGACAGTGCAGACTGAGGTAGGTGGGGCAATCATCTGACTCAATGGAAGGCAGTTTATTATAACTATTTAAAAGGTTGCTGCTTGTTGGTGGAAGAACCTCTCTCAGCAAGGAGTTCCAAAATCCAGTTGCAGCCGACGAGGGGTTCCTTTCTCAATTTTCTAGCCAATGCATGTCAGATGTTTCTGCAAAGCAGCCTGCTCAAGCCACACTAAGGATCCATGACACAGAGAAGACTCGAATCCAGATCTCCCCAGATTCAAGGAACCTCTCTGCTGAAAAGGGACCGGCATCCATACGAAAAGCACACTGCATCTCTCTTTATTCAGTTGCAAAAGCTACCATTTGCCAGACTTTGGCTTAAGAGAGTGTGGGGCAAAAAGAGGAGAATCGTTTTCATGGACCAAGCCTGACTTTCTCACACACAAAAAAGGGTTTCTTTTTGCAAAGACCAGGAGTCCCTATGATTCACCTCCTCTCTGGGTGGCTTTAAGAGGCTCTTAAAAATAAACAGTAATTATAAAACATAGACGAGCTGATGAACAGGGGATGTGGAATGCAACCATGAATGGCTCATCGTGGGCAGGGTAGTAAACTCAGTGGCTGTTCTGAGGAAAGTTAGTCTTTCATTGCTGCATTTCTAGAGCGTTTAAGAAAAAAAATCCCAATGTAAGCCAACAGCATGCTTAGGAGACGTATAATTAAAAAAAAAAAAATCATGTCTATACAGTTAAGCATTAGAGGTGAGCACACAACTTTCAAATATTTCAAATCACAAATCTTTCAGATTTCACCCTCCAGAGTACCGTTTTATAAGGGGGAATGGCAAATGGCAGAAGTAAATATAGCGGGGGGGGGGGAGCAAAAATTGCTTTTCAGGGCACACATTGCTCAATGTGGCTCAGGTATACCTTGAAATGTTTTAACCGCTCAACAGCACTCTCAAACCCTAAAGACTGAAAAGGGACTTTCCACTTCTCTGAAATACACAAGCACAAAAACGAAGGCAGAGATTTATCATCTGTAACACCGAACTGGAGGTGCAAAACCAGGGTGTGGTGCATTATTTGTCTAGGGTTCGATCTAGAAACTACCGTGCCCTTAGGCTGTACCTCCATGGAAGTGCCGTAACTCGGTGGTAGATCACCTGCTTTGCATGCAGAAGGCGCCAGGCTAAATTCCGGGCATCTACAGGTTGGGTTGGGAATTCTCCCCATCTAAACCCTGGTGAGCCACGGCCAAACAATGCAGAGACAATACTGAGCTAGGTGGACAACGTTGTGATTCAGTGTAAGAGAGAAAAAACATGTACACCATTTGCCTGCATTTCACAGCAATTTGAAGCTCCTATACTGCCTGCTCTAAGAACCACAAATCCAGTCTTCTCTTCAATGTGCTTATTCCAGGTAAGCTAACATAAAGTTACTTGGTGGAAGGATCTATTCACTCAACCACCTGAGGACTGACTTCATGCTATGGGCGCTGAAGATCACCTGTGAGGACAATTAATGAAAATACTTCTGAGCACAAGGTTACTCTGTTCTACAACCACTGCTTTTAGGAAACCAACTTGGAAGACGAGCATCCTCATCCTATTTTGAAGATAAGCCAAGAGACTGCCTGATGGAAATCAAATGCACAACCTCCAGAAATTCAACACAAACTCCATGGAAATGTGGGTGGGAATGTTATGCAACTCCTATTCATTTCAACAGGGCTTTCATCGTTGAGGTTTCTAATTAATTACAGCGCAGGTTCAACCACCACACTATCCTCAAAATAACTGCAGCCAAAGCTGGGCTTCACAGAAGCAATCCTCAAATCACATCAATACAGAGCACCCACTGAGTTCCTGAATCTACCCCAAAGCTTCTGAGTAGCGGATCCTGGTCAGCAGACTTACACCTCAGAATTCAGTCTTTCCTGTTCCATTCAGTTGATGGACAGCCAGTGGGGTGCAACACTTAAGAGTGTTAGAACAGGACCTCGGAGACAGGGTTCAAATCTCCACTCAGCCATGAAGCTTGCCAGGTGATCTTGGGGGCCAGTTGCTCTCTCTTACCCTTAATCTACTACCTCACAGGGTTGTTGAGAGCAAGCAGGGTATGTATACTGTCCTGTGCTCCTTGCAAGAAGGATGAGATAAAATCATCATCATCAGAATCATAGAACTGTAGAGTTGGAAGGGACCCTGAGGATCATCATCATCATCCTCATCATCGCAGAATTATATAACTGTTGAGTTGGCAGGGACCCCAAGGATCATCCAGTCCAACCCTCTGCAATACAGAAATATGCAGTTTGTCCCTGACAGGGATCGAACCTGCAACCATGGCATTATCAGCACCACACTCTAACTAACTGAGCTATCCAGTCAGCTGAAGGACTTATTATCAGCACCAATAAGAGAAGGGTGAGGAGCATCTAATGTAAAACCCTACACCACGTGTAGGGTTATGTTATGTTGTGTTGTGTTATGTGTAAAAGCATCAGGACAAACACAAGATAGGCTTCAATTCCCAGCACCTTTCACAAAAATGTATTTAAAAAACCCCACCCACTTTTGCACATATTAAAAACAAGCCACTAAATATCTTCACGCCTTTTACATTGGGCTTCCCCAACCTGGTGCTCTCCATATGTTTCGGCCTACAAGTCCCATCAGCCTCAGCAAGCCCAGCCCTACCAACTAGGGCTGATAGGGGTTTGTAGCCCACAGCATCAAGAGAGCGCCAGGCTAAGGAATGCTGCGCTGTTTTGTATGAAAACATTTGTTAGTATGCAAAAAAAAACTCTTCTGCAGGAAAACAAAAGGGTCTTTGAGAGTTTTCACACTTCTTAGCCAAAAACCACTATAAGCAGGATCTCTCTCTTTTTTTGGGGGGGGGGGGGGAGGCAAACACACTATGATCTCCCATCATTAACTGCAGACACAGCAAAGGTCCTTCCCCCACATGGAGAGTTCATCTTTCTCTGAATATTGCAAAGAAGGGCGACAGTTCTGTTTGGGGCGACAGAAGGTCTCCAAACATCAGATTGCAAATTTATGACTAAAGTGTATTTCAAAAGCCGCAATATCCCTGTAACCTGTTATGGAAAACCGTTTCCTTGTTTTCAGTGGCATGTAACACCTACCGGGAATAACAAAGGAAAAATTAATTATCTGCTTAAAATACACACACACACACACACACACACACACACACACAGTCAGTCCAGTCAAACAAGAGGCACTGTCACAATTCTCGACACATTTCCAGACAGAAGAAAAAGGACATGAGGAGAGTGTGGAGCAAGGCTGGTGAGGAATGTGGATTGGGAAGGAAACATGGCCTGGATAATGTCTCAAGGGCCACACGGAGGTGCATGGAGGGCCACATTCCACCACAGTGCCTGCAGTTCCCCACTCCCGCTATTTATGGTTAGAAAGTCATGAGCTTCTCCTTCCTTTGGCTTCAGTCTCCTGTGTGACTATTATTTTCCCCAAACCCACACAAGCCTTTACAGCTATTCACTTTCAAACCATGCCAGCTGCCATGATTGATGGCACAGATACAAGCAGATTTTGTTGGCACGGTGGGTTTGTGTTTGTGGAGCTTCCATGCTGGAAGATCTCCTGTATTTTAATTTTTCTGCCTGTTGTGTTCCGAAACTAAATTTTCTGGGATCACTTTGGCCCATTCAGTTAAGTTTTCTTCTAGAAAGGTTAAGCAATCTACTGTCTGATACTAATACCCATGTGGCCCCATAGGGTGTCCTCTTAATGTTCTGGCCGCCTTGATTATTCACATGAGCATTATTTCTGATGCAGCTCCCAACTACTGTGGGGATGTTTTGATCCGGCAATCCCATTGGTGTATCTGGCTAATATGCCAATAATATACATGTGAACAGGGTTATATCTGGGTTGGGAATCCTACCTGGATGGCCAATTTCAGAAGGTGGTCCTGGGGCCTACTACTCTATTTAGACCGGGGGTTCTTAACCTGTGGTCCATGAAACAGGTGCAAAGAGATTTTCCAGTGCAATAATATAAATTGTATACAAAATGTTGTGTGTATGGGGAGGGGATCAATAGCTTTAATCATATTCTCAAGGGGGTCCATGACCCAAAAAAGGTTAAGAACCAATTATTTAGGCTATGGTGTTTGGCAGGGTTTGACCTTGCCCCACTTCCTTTGTAAGGTCTATATAGGACCACTGAGTGAGGTCAAAGGCGGATTTAGGGTAGTGTGTCATTAAAATGATGAGAACAAGCTCTCTCCCCAGACGTCTGATACAAGTTAAGCAAAGGAAGTGCTAAACCACTATCTCTGCTCTGTCATAGAACAGCAGAGAGCTCCACCTAGACAACAAGCCGGAGGTGTTGGTGGATGGTGGTATCAGACAATTGGGTTTTATGCCACAACAGCAATTTAATTCTGTTATTTTATAAAGTTGATTGCTTGACGTGGATTATTGTGTAAGCTGCCCTCAAAATGTTTATTTGAAGGGCAGGACACATTAATATAAAGATCCACAGAAAAGAGAAATCCTAGCTGACCATGAGGCCAGTGGAGAGGCGGGGGAGGTTGAAAAAAATAAATCATCAACATCTTGCTGCAGATATTAAAATGTGTGCATTAAAATAATCTGAGCAGCTGTTTACTTTCAAACAGACAAAATACTTGCACTGCTTAACTCTGGAAATGTCCCTTTTCTGCAACAATGGAAATTAATAGAGCACATCGACAAGGTCTTTGTTGAATGTGGTGTTACAGCGTAATGCGAGTTTATAGCAGTGTAAACACACACACTCTCACACAAATGTGCTTAGAAACATTCAGTAGCTTCAACATTTTTATATGGCCCAATTGCCTTGCAGGGGGCATAAGTATGCAATATCTAGGGCAAATAATGTGACTTTCTATGGGTCTCCAGATTTTATCCAGTGCAGAACTTTGGAGAGACAGAGAGAGACAGAGAGAGAGAGAGAGAGAATGAAGAAGCTCACAAGAAACAGAGTCAATAAAAACCATGTTCTGTTTCCAATTCTCCAAAAGTGAGTTTGACCTTGAAACAAGCCACATAATAACCTGGGAATACTCATAAACAACACTGTGCCTGGTGATTTTCAGCTGAAGATGCTACTGGCTTGCAAAACATTACGGAGGGGACTGCTAAGTTGTAACTGAAAAGTATAATTTCCACCACTAAGCACATCAGAAAACAGCCCTTAACTTTTCATAATTCACCAGCTGCAAGCATTCATCCTAAGATCCATCTAAAACTATGGGATCTATTAATCACTAGCTACCCTGTACTCGGCACTACTTTGGAATTCCAAGAAATGAAGAAGTTAGTGCCGTTTTCAAAAAAGTGGTTAAAAATCAGTGTAATTTTGAAGGTTCGGTCTGCCATCTTGATTCCAACAGATGAAAAGTGCTCATTGATCTGGCTTCACAATCAGTTCCTCCTTTCGCAGCGAACTCTGGGAATTGCATCTGTGAGCAGAATAGAGGACTGAACCCTAAAACTACATCACATGTTTAGAGGTTGAAATTTCTTACTAAGGTCAGAACAGAGATGGCAAAATAGGTCCAGCAAGGCAGGAAACAAACTGAGCACCCAAGGAAGGGGACTCACTCACATCCAGCCAACAAGGGATGACATCTTTCTGCTTCCTCCAAGCAAGTGGAGTAGTGGAGGTGTCCTACTGACCACTTGAGAAAGTCATCTCATAAGAACTCTCAGTACCCTTAACAAGTGACAGCTCCCAAGATTCTTTGGGGGAAACCGTGACTGTTTAAGCTCGTGTCATAGAGCCTTAAATGCAGTTTTAATGTGGCTATGTCCAGGCTAAGAGATAGCAGACAAGCTTGCAGTCCAAGCCAGAGGGAATAGAGGACTCAATGGGCGAGCACGGGCGCACACTCACTCACTCTCTCTCTCTCTCTCTCACACACACACACCAGCCTGCTCTGGAAGAAGGGGATGCAGATACTAGAGGGGCAACTGTGTGAATTGTGCATTTGGATGGATGAGACCTCTTCGCAAAAGAAGTTTGTTTGTTTTTTTTTTACAACAATATACAGGCAGGGAAAGACAAAGCAAAAAGGACAGGAAGAAATCAAAGAAGCCTCTGTCAGGTTATGTCCAACAGTCTACTGCTGTGTGTGGCAACCTCATACACACACATTGACCAAAGCTCCCTACACTCCCAACTTTTTGAAAATTATGGGGTTTTTTCCACTTCTGAAGGGTTGCTTAGTTTGGGGGGGGGTGTCAAGGGAGTTGCCTGCTTTTTTGTCTGTATTTTATTTGTTAGGTGGGTGTATGAGTATTGCCTGTTTTGAGGGCCTCTGAGTGTGATCACTTTTTCTTCGGTAAAATGGGCGTTTTGTGGTGCCCTAGACAGTGGGACACGGGTGGCACTGTGGTCTAAACCACAGAGCCTAGGGCTTGCCGACCAGAAGGTCAGCGGTTCAAATCTCCGCGACGGGGTGAGCTCCCATTGCTCGGTCCCTGCTCCTGCCAACCTAGCAGTTCAAAAGCATGTCAAAGTTCAAGTAGATAAATAGAGGGCAACTCTGGCGGGAAGGTAAACAGCGTTTCCGTGTGCTGCTCTAGTTTGCCAGAAGCGGCTTAGTCATGCTGGCCACATGACCCAGAAGCTCCCTCGGCCAGTAAAGTGAGATGAGCACCGCAACCCCAGAGTCATCCGCGACTGGACCTAATGGTCAGGGGTCCCTTTACCCTTTACCTAGACAGTTCCCAGAACAAAGGATGGCTAGAGATCTCTGGTCTATTGTCTAGGGCAGGTATTGATTACATCACACTTGTGGATAATAGCCATACCAGCAGTCATAGCATCTCCCCTGCTCCCTCTGAAATTAGGTTTGGAAGAAACATTCTATTCTAGCAATGTGATATATTTTTTTATGTGTGCTTGGGGCCCAAAACAGTTTCTCCAGTTTGCAAATGTGACCACTGGCCCCAAGATGCTGGTGACTCTCTAGGGGCGGGGGCGGGGCGTTAGGCAAATTACTGCAACACAAAGCAGCAGAATCCTTGCCCCTCCTTTTCTCCCTTCCTCTGCTTAAGATGTTTTTTAAAAAACTATGGTAAGAGAAAAGGGCTTTCAAAGAGCTGAAGGTGGTTTGAAATTATAGCAACTTCTTTTTGCGGTGCTTATATTCGCTTCACTTTTCCCTTCTGGTGTAGAGGTTTGGCAGGTTTCTATGACGTTTAAATGATCCTGCCAACCTGTTTGGCCAGAGGAGTGGTTGTGGAACAAAAGTACACCATGAGAAGCAAAGCCTGTCCCAAGGCCCTTCTGCTGGAGCAAGAAGCGGCTGAAGACTGCTCACACAACCTTCCCACCCGCCATCCATCCTTTTGACATGGGCAGTGGGAGTCTCAGAGGCAGCAAAACAAAAACTATTCATAATTTCAGAACACACACCGGCCTATGCAAGCTGCAAATTAATCAAAAGTAACTGATTTCAATGCCA